CTGAAAAAGTAGAGACTGCTACAGTTTTAGGTATTTTTACTTGTACTGTTCGTCTATAATACCAGCAGTGGCAGAAACTCAAGGAGCTAACTTTAAAATGTGCTGATAGATTAAATCCATACTGTTATCGATTCAGAAATGCAGACTGACACGGTTCGATAATAATGCCCGAATGTCAGAAAGTGGACTGGCATGATTGCATTTGAATTAAATTCACCTAAGTCGAAGGAAGCAGTCTTTGTTAGCACAGAATGGTTTTAGGCTTAGCGATAAGATGGCCTTTGCCAAGCGATCTATGACAGCTGGTAAAGTCATAAAGTGAAAGGTCTGATTTTACGAAATCGGCTTTCAGGTTCAAGTTATCGTCGACAATGTAGATTCGTACTGCTTGCCGTACGGAAGCCTACAGGTGTTCCATACTGTCTTTCGTCGTTTAATGTTTACTGAGTGCTGTGTCCAGAAATTTGTAGTATTAAATCTTCTGCAGTATTTTCCTTTAGTTTTTGTCGTATGCTCCATGAAAAACTTGTAGTTCTTCGACCCATGAAATAAATTAAATTACACTCATGTACTACTTATGTACTAACTGTAACAATAATGTCAACGGTATGTTTCCGTTCTCAAGTCAGCTGGTCATACCAAGTTGCAGTGGTCAACTGAGTAGCTGCATAAAATTTGCAATAGATAACTTTCTCATAATGAGGAACAGGAAAGTAGTGTATTATTTCATGTTCATTCTGCATACAAAAACTGCATAATCAGTGCATCACTTTTCCACTGCCTGCCAATATTTATTGTATGTAAATTAAATTAGCTTTAATGGGAATCTGAATAGTATTAACCCCCACACGGCTTGTCAAATTGTGTATGGAGGCTGCTTTCCGAAGTTAACGCAACCGCCATAGCCAAGTTCGTTTTTATACAAGCGAGGACGTTATGATTCAGTAATTTCACTCCAGGATGCGCACTTATTTTAAATGCCATATCTTATGAGACTTTCTGTACAGATAGAAAGAACAGTACACGCAACGAGGAACCCAAAAAACTGGTTGGAAAGTCGAAAACGTTTCAGTGTTTGTTGCACGGCTGGTATATGGAAGAAGTTGTTCATTTTGTCATATTTTTTCAGCAAACAGGTAATCCTGAGTTTTGGTCAATGTTTTATTTGATCAGCACATGATGCATATTTCGTAGCAGCACTTTTGATAAAAGTTCAGCCTTTCCGCTGACTTTCTAAAAACTGGTTGAGTACGTCATGTGCTTGCGTTTCCTTTCCATAATCCTGAATTGTAAAATTAGAGCAGAGATGAACCATTTATAAATATGGTGAATACCTTTACAACCACGCAACTGCATTTCACCACTTTTCTGGCTTTTCCTTCGCGATCGAACTTGCATAGGCCTATCCATTCACCCAACGTCATTTTGTCTTTAACCTTTATTGAAGAAAACGAAATCTTTAATGTTAACAGATGGGCTTTGATTAAGTACAAGCTTAAGCAACCTCAGTAATACTCTGTTCAATTACGACTACAACACAGGTTACATCCAATGCAACAAAACATGTCATATATGATTTTCTATTAGAGATTCTACCCATTAAAAACATCGGACAAATAGTTATATAACAGCTCGCAGGCTCAAGACTCAACTCTCGCGTTTCTATTATTCAATGGTATCTAGACCACCATCCAACCTCAGACGTACGTATTTATCTATGGTTAGCTTGTTAAAATTAGGCATTGTAATTTATGATATCTTACAGCGCAGCTCGTCGCTGTTGATGAGGCTGAACCGTATGTATCGAAAAATTGCAAACAGATCTTGGCATAAGGATTAGTTTGCAATCGTATCAGACACCCCGCAGGGCAGTAAACAATAACAAAGCGCACAATATCAAAACCGATGCTACATCTGAAAAGTCACCAGTGTTACCAGTCATAATCAGCTTATAGCATCTACTCAGCAATAGCCATTTCATCTCTGCAATTCTTTACGTCGCCGGTTGCAGGTAGGGCCTGCAACTGGTGCAGGATTCCGCTCCTCTACGCTGAGACGTTGATGTTGCTCGTCACTCGCCAATGATATCTGTCCGGGACGAAAACTTTGAAAAGTATTTCAATACTCTGCATTTACTGCGCTGGATGAAGGATGGGGAAGCAACGGCAATAGATCACAAGGGGTGGCACCCAAAATATTGACTATACAGCAATCCCTCGTGAAACATTCTCACTAAAGAAAATTGGTGCTGGTTACCGCGTCGGGTTAAACGAGACCTACAACTCTGTGAACCACAGAATGCTATTATTAACCGGACCAAGAACGTTATCAAAATCTGATCAGCCATAAGTTAGAATCTGACTACAGAACGTATTTTCCGACGGTATACGTTAACGAAACGGAGATGAAGTTTTACGTTACTGGAATACGCGAAAGCGGAAGAGCTACCAAATTTGCTGCAGAGTGGAACAACGGAGACCAAGCGTTTTTCGGGTAGGCCTTCGAGAACCGCATTCGGACCGGTGGCGTTTGATTCATAATAAAAAGGAAGGCTGTTCCATTTGTAGTAAGCAGCGACAGTATGCAACGTCGTTTAGGAGTCCTGCTTCTAGAAATGGACAAAGAAGAAGCTATAAAAAATAATCCAAGCGTACAACTCAACGTAACAACCTAGGATGAGGAGATCAAGCAGTTCTATGAGGAGCTGGAAGGCACAATGCAGGAAATATGTACACGACTGTTAAAGACGATATATACGCAGCTGTTGGAACAAGAATGAACGACGATTAAATATTTATCGGCAGTTGCCCAAATAGCAAAACAAATGAATGAGGGGATCGCTGCGCAAATTTTCACAGAAAACAATCTCGTCCACGCAATGAACACCATTTTCCAAAAAGCCCTAAAGTGAACACGGATAATACAAATAAATCTGAGTCAAAATGATCAATGTACTAACGGGCAAGAACGAAGAATATCGCACGCGTTAGTCACTAGCGATAACATTATCTATATTGTTAGATCACAGGCTTCTACGTTACACAACAATGCAATGATCAATATCGCAAAAGACGAACGGATCAAAAGAGATCGAAAAGTTAATCGATCAGCTCTTCAATAAGGCAACTAATGGGTAGGATAGCACAACTGAAAGACGAAGGGGAAATGGACAACGTGTACAATCCAGTGTACGGAGAGTTGAAGTAAGGCTATGGCAATC